GATAAGTTTTGTTATTTGGGCAGCTACATCTCATCCGGTGGAGGCATCACAGATGAAGTGTCCGCTCGCATACAGAAGGCTCGGTTGGCATTTGCTAACTCGAGACATCTGTGGCGCCGTCGCAACATCCGGCTGTCTGTGAAGGGTCGTGTGTATGCCGCGACAGTTCGGCCAGTCCTACTATACAGTGCAGAAACTTGGCCATTAAGAAAACAGGATAAAGATAGACTGTCGGTGTTTGAACCCCGCTGTCTACGCAGCATTGCATGAATCTAGTGGGGTAGCCGGTTGAGCAATGCTGAGGTTAGGTGCAGAGTTTTGGGTATCCGCGGTCACCCACTGGAGCAAGTGGTCGACCTCCTTAGATTGGGAGGGGGCATGTGTTACGCATGTCACCAGATAGGTTACCACGGAGAGCGATGTTCGCCGAAGCAGATACCGAGTGGAAAAAGCCAAGAGTGGTCAAGCTAAGACCTGGCATGAGGGTACCAAATCCCTAACCGGGAGACTGGGTCACATAGGTCCTGTTAAGCTCCCTGGCTGGGGACCTCTGGATGATNCTGAATGATATGGCTGGGTGTCGTAAACAGTGGCGTTCGTGCATCTCCTCAATTTCTTTGCAACCTTAGACCACTGAATTTCTCCATTTTCTGTTTGACTTCACTTTCAACTTTCTTTTCTTCTCCTATTCTTCATCTAAATGGGCAGCCAAAAGACAGCAACCAAAACTGGTGCACGAATGTGCGTGGTTAATGGTTGTACAAACTGAAAAATGTCCTCCAAGATCACCTAATCTGTCTCCCTTGGATTTCTTTCCGTGGGGATATCTAAAGCGNNATCGTGTATTCCTGAAAACCGAGAACGATCGAGGAGCTTGAACAGAGTACAGTCGCGCAGTGTGAAAGTATTCTGATAGTGGAAGAAAATTATCTTCACCGAATTTTGCTATGCAAGCAGAAAGGTGGAAAACATATTGACTAAGATAAGATTGACATAAGATAAATATGCATTTTCTATAATAGTTGCTCTTTCTTTCTATCTGTGACGTAGTCAGCGAGATCGTTCAACGCAAAAAGAACCAGTTGGGAAAAGGAGTTTTGCGCGGGCCTACATTAGTGTATATTGTAGTCCGTACCTAAGAGAAGTTCAAAGTTTTATTACCGAACTCGCCTAGAAAAATAGTGCGTATATCTTAGACGAGTCGAACGTAGCCCAGTGCCATCATCGCGTGAACATTTTCATTCCGAATTTCAAATATGGTTCATCGCCCCACAACCGACTCTCCTGTGGTGATTCTCTACCAATACCAATGGGATTCAGAACTAATGCTCCTCCTATGCCGGCCCGAAAATCACACGACCGATCGGATTCATTTATCGATCGGTCGGATGGTCCGGCCACAACAAGGGACCTGGTGCTTGTTCAGCTAACCCGAGCGAGAAGCCACACCTCTTTTACAGCCGAGAGTCTCAAACAGGCCCAGTGAACTTCGACTGTGTGGCAGGAGTGTCATCAACACTCGGATGGACTGTACATGAGAACAAGAGCATTGCGAAAAGTACAAGCCGGTAATCGGACAGTTACGTGTTGGGGTGAAGGATTCCAAGTGCGGCGAATTGCGGAAAATGATCCAATCAGATCATAAGAGGGTCAGAGGGAATTTACTTGTTCAAGGTCAGAGGTGAGAGGGACAAGACGATGTGAAACAATGGAGCAATCACACTGTAACTGTTTTTTCTACCCATCTCGAACACAGGGAATGTCACCTTTTTCCGTGCCCCGGAGCTTGGCTAGTAAGGAATATAAATCATAAGACACTGGATTGATAAAACCATTCATTAATTGGTGGGGGGAGGGAACAAAAGCTCTACACATGAGCTGATTCACTATGTTGGAAGTAAAGGAATGAATAGAAATGTCAGCCGCGATTCATTTGCACTTTTACTTAATTAAACAATGCGTCACCAGCTCGTTCGCACGCCCTCCTGAACCGTTTGCGTGTGTTTGTGGTGGGGAAAGCCGACCGCTTGGTGTTGACCTTTCGCTACTCGGGAAAATCAAGTAACTCCTTACTCCTTAACGGACGACACCAAAATACATTTGGTCTGGTGAAACACTTGGTGTCTGAGTTTTCGGAAAACACGAGAAGCATGCATCCGCTTTATTCCTGACAAAGCGAAAAGCAGGTGTGTTCAAATGCAAAAAATGCACAGGGCCTTTTCTTCAAACCGAATCGTTTCACAGTGCAAAGAATCGTTTAAGGAACGAGCCAATGAATGATGATTGGTTGAGAAATAATGTGAGAATGCACATACACCCACACAGAAATATTTCCAAACACGCATAATTATTTATCCATACCGAGGGTTTCCTTCTACCCATACAACTTTTTGTATGGATGAGAAACTATGCAAATTTGAAAACAGTCATGTATGAGTGTGAATTTTCACAACATTGCTTAAATACTCCACCGTAGTCACTGGCTTGTTCTCTAAACGATTGGTTGCACTGTGAAACGATCCGGTATGAAGCAAACGCCTTGTGCGTTTTTTCACAATTGAATCGATCTGCCTTTCGCTTTGTCACGAATAAGACGTTTGGATTCTTCTCATGTGTCCATAAAACCCAGACCCCAAGCGTTCAACCAGACTAGAAGTGTATTTTGTTATCGTCCGTCAGGTCCATCTTGCAGCAATTGACAACTGTGACTTGTGTAATAAGAGCAGCGAAAGGCCAAGACAAAACGACCGACTTTCCCCACCACAAACACGCAAACAATTCATGGGGAGTGTGGACGGGCTTGGGAATTCGGATCACCCGTTACCATTGGACACATTTTTTCATCGCGTAAAAATGTAGATGAACCGCAGCTGAAATTTCTACTCAGCATTGTGTTTCCGACTTGGTGAATCACCTGGTATAAGGGGAAGGGATGGATTGATAAATCATGGACAGCTAGCATATCTCGATGGGGCTGGAATTAAAATCTGACTGAATGAACACCGCCCTAAAGAACAGCAGCGATGCGAAAGGATAATTTGGCCAGCCGAAAGATCTAAAGCAAATCACTGGCTTTCTTGAGCCGACTTTTTTTGTTGTACAGGCAGTATGTGCAAACAGTACAAAAAGCCACTAGTAGAATAAATCAAGCCAACCGGTACTGGAGAATCCAACTGATTGTTTACCGCACGGAATACAGGGACGGCAAACAAAACTCACTTTTTCTCTAAAAATAGATAGTGGAATAAATCGGTCACTTGGTCCGAACCGTAAGGCAACAGAGAAACCAAAGTGGCACCCAAATCCGGGAGTAATTCGCACAACGCATCCGTTTCGAGCCTGTGGAAAGAGTGAATCAGATTAAGAGAGAGAGAGGACAAGTGAGTTCGGTGTATTGTATGCGAATAAATCTTCTCGTGGGGTGCTGCTTCTCTCACTAAAAGGACTGGATTTGGGGGGGGGGAGGATTAGTTCAAATCAAGTCATGCCAAGGAATGGCTTTATACACCTCGAAAGGTGGATATTCAGCAACCACATAACCACCTTGTGTCAACAAAAACTGGAAAAAACAACAAAAGTATAGTACAGCAATTAAAGGACGTGTAAAAGGACAGCAACATCAAAAAAACAATGGCATACCCTAGATTTTATGATTGATTTAGTTTATCGTTTTGGGCAGATTTCCTGCAACAAGTTCATGGTTTGTTAGAAATCTGGCAAGATAAGGGACAATAGACCGCCTGCAAGCTTCAGTACGTGTCTTTATAAGTTTGTGAGTGGAACGGGTGGATGAGTGAGAAAGGGACTGACTAAGGGCGGAATAAAGAGAATGAGAGATATCAGATAAAATCTTGTTGGAGAATGTTTTACAGGACTTAATGTGATGTGTCACCACATACTGTACCAGATGTTCCCGTGGCATGAGATTACAAACTGAAAGAAATTTGAGGGATCGGGAAATGAGTTTGAGATCCTCAGTAAAAAGACCAGGGAAGACAACAGCGGACCCATAAATCCAGTGAGACAAAACGCACGTTAAAACAAAACACCTAATGAGATTGTTTGGAATGGAAAGTGATTTCAGACGTAAAACATAAAACGTGACCCTTCTGACCTTCAGAAAAATGTCATTAACGTGCTCAGACTAGGTGAGGTTGCGGTTGAAAATAACGCCAAGGTATCTGACAGACGGTTGTCGTTCTATCTGGTCACTAAGGATAGATAAAGGCGGGTTGGCATTTGACAATTCATCATACTTTTGCCCTTTCAAAAAGGAAAAAAATTACGTCATTACATTTTTGGGCGTTCGCACGGAGGTTCCTTAGTTGAGACCACTCAACTATTTCCGACACGTCTTCTTGTAGACTGGTTTGAAATGAGGATTTGGGGTAGGGCAGTCCGAATACTATATTGTCTGCATACTCCCCTATAGTCCTCCCAAAACAGGTTGTAGCTGCACATTTCTTTCATTTGGTGGAATGCATGAAATCCTGGGTGTTTGATCAAATTTGTTTAAGTTGTTATTTGGCAAGTTATTTAGAAATTGAGAAATTCAGCAGCAAGAACCGTGAAACCGGTCGTGTGCTTCCGGGGAAATTTTGTCCAGTTATTCACATATTCCTTATTATGAAAAAATAACATTCTTTACGGATACTGAGCGAAATAACAGTTAGGAAAAATTAGATTTTTTCTTTGTAATTCGCCACCGAAACTTTCATCCTCGCCCGGTAACTATCTTTTATTACACACGTTATTGTTTGATGAAAAAAGAACCCCATAGTCGAATAGACCTGCTATTCAATGATGGAAAATAGCAGTCTAATCCACGGGACTTGGAGTGGTGTACCATGCAAGGTGCCCTAGGTTAGGTGTGGTAGTGAGCAGGCCGACAGTGAAGTCGCCTACCAACAGAGTTGAGGGAGGGGGGGGG